CTTCCCACAAAACGCTGATGTTTAGGAAAGTCTAATTCCCAGTAGCCTCAAGAGTCAGGAATGCCCTCAAAGTCAGGGGTGCTGGCAATCAAGGGTTAAAAGCCAGCCTGTCTGTTTCATAGATGATTGTTTGATATTGGGTGCAGAATTAATTTAAGACAACATGGAATAAACGTCCTCAAGCTTTGTTTTCAATTTAAATTATTGATTTATAAAAGACATGACTTGACACTGCAACAACTAATAATTTAAACTCAATAAGTCCAACAAATCATTCAACCGAAAATAGATCATGCAGGAATTTTCTAATCACACATACAAATTTAAGATACACTGTGTGAAATGCAATAAAATAGAACTTATTAAAATAATGATTATATTAGATAATTAAATAACAACATTTTCTTCAAGAAGCAACATTCAATGGGCACTTGATGTTCCAACTGGATACGTAGAATTATAAAATGATATAGTCCAGGCTATGCTGGCTATTGTATCTGTGCTAGCTCTTGCTCTGATCTCTTCTCAGCTCTCTTCATAAAATTATACAATGAATCCCACTCTACTTGATCTTAGCTCCTAATTTAATCATTACACCCTTACTGTGGGCAGCTGCTTATATAAAACTACTTTCCACAATGGGTAACAGTAACTTAAATCATCTTAAACTGGAGTTTTACTGTCTGCCAAATGCTCCTGAATGGTGAGAGAGATAGTAGGAACAGCCAATGCTGGAGGATCTGAGATAACAAGATGTAGAGCTGGATGAACACAGCAGGCCAAGCAGCATCAGAGGAACAGGAAAGCTGACGTTTCGAGTCTGGACCCTTCTTCTGGACCCGAAACATCAGCTCTCTTGCTCCTGAATGGTGATGTTGAAATGGAAATCTTCTCAGGCAATATGTGTAGCACTGCATCAGTATTGCTACTGCTCTAGTTTCCACTCAGTACTCAGTTAATTTTGAGACTGCTGAAGGCAAGTTCTATCTCAATTTATTTCAAACCTTACTCAATGTGTTTCCTTGTGTGCAAAATGGCACATGTGGCTAAAACAAAGTGATGTTGTTCTGCTTTACACAAATGTAGCGCCAAATGGCTGTATATTTACTCAGATAAATTATTCAGATCTATTCAGTTGACAATTAGGTTATTAAATTGATTTGCTTCCTTACAAAGTGCAGAGTATATGATGATCAAATGAGTGTGGAAGTTAATGTTCTCTTCAGAAGTGCCCCTATAATTGATTCATATCGTGTTTTGTCTGTTTTTTTAACAGTTATTACTAGCTCTAAGGGATTCATTAAAGATTTGAATAATGGATAAGATATAAATGACCAAAATCTCTGTATCAATGCCTTGAAGACTTCAGCAACATTTGTACATCAGAATGAAAACATTAAGTCATGGGGATCTGACACAATGAACATGTATTAAACAAGTAGAGATAGTAAGAACTGCTGATGCTGGAGTCAGAGATAACACAATGTGGAGCTGAAGGAACACAGCAGATCAGGCAGCATCAGAGGAGCAGGAAAACTGACGTTTCGGGTCAGGACCCTCCTTCAGAAAAGATTTCTGAAGGAGGGTCCTGACTCGAAACGTCAGCTTTCCTGCTCCTCTGATGCTACCTGTTGTGTTCCTCCAGCTCCACATTGTGTGATATCTGTATTAAACAAGTAGTTGTTTTTCTCCAGTACACAAGTAATAAACTAATTTTACTCCTCACAAGTGAAGGAAAGACATATATTTGTGGATTTGTTTAATGAACAAAGGGTTTTCAAAGTACTTCAAAACTGGTTCCAATTGGTTGATCACTCTCCCCTTTGGTTGATTGCAAGTAAGTTAATTTCGAAAGGACACATCTCTTTCAGATACCTTTCTCCTAGAAAGTTTCAATGAAAAGGTGTACAGATACAAATTTGAATTATGCGTAAAGAGTATAGCTGACTACTGCAGCCATCACAGTTGTTGTTGTCACCAGTTTTGTTGACATTGTTAGTTAACAGTCAATGTCAAGATTGCGAGCTTTGCTGGTTGATTAAAACTCTTTTGTCAAGATTCCTTTCAGCAGTAGCTAAGACAGAGTGAAAAAGTCTTTTCTCATCTTTTACTGAGAGTGCAGGAGTGTTAAGATTTTTGGTCTAGTGGTACTATTGCAAGACTCTTAATCCAGAGACCCAGTAATGTTCTGGGGGCCGGCATTCAAATGGCAGATAATAAAGTTTGAATTCAGTTAAAAAGCTGGAATTAAGGGTCTACTGATAACTGTGGAACTAATGTTGATTGTTTATTTTTCCAACAATCTGGTTCACTAATGTCCTTTCTGGAAGGAAACTGCCGTCCTCATCTGGTCTGGTCTACATGTGACTCTAGGCCCATGGTTGATTTTTAAGTGCCCTCTGGGTGTGTTATAAATGATGGCCTAGCCAGAGGTACCCACATCCTGTGACTTAATAAAAAAGAGTGAATCAATACAGGAGACAATGGCCTTGTGGTAATGTGACTGGACAAGGAATCCAGAAATCCAGGCTAATGTCTGGGGACATGAGTTTCAATCCTAAAATGGCAGGTGATGAAATCTGTAGTCAGCAAAATTCTAGAATTTAAAAAAAAACTCAGCCTAACAGTGACTGCTGCTGATTGGCATAAAAACCCATTCTGGTTCACTAATGTCTTTGAGAAAAGGAAATCTGACATCATTTCCAGGCCTGGCCCACAAGTGAGTTCAGACCCACAGCAATGTGGTTGATTCTTAAAAACCTTCTGGGCAATTTGTGATTGAGAATAAATGTTCATCCAGCCAGTAACATTTACATCCATGGGTGAATAATCAAAAAAAAGGCTGTTGTTAGAGCTATGACCTTCACACACAAGCCCACACACATTAGCACTTGGATTGAGTGACTTATAACCTCTGTCATTTTGTATTCTTTAAACTTGGATTGGGGGTCAGTGCAAACATGTCATGCCCTCTCTTTTGTTTTGAACACCATGTTCACAGTCTGAGATTATAAATTCCATTTATAATGCATTTTCTCCCTTTGAAACTTTTTTCACACTGCAGGTGTGACATTCTGGAGTATCTCACTCTCCAGGCAACCACTGAATTCACACCTGCAAGCAACTCTAAGATTTTTGCCCTTTTTCTTCTTGTACACATTGTAATCAAAGCTTGATGTGTCCATAGGTAATCTGGGTTAATGATCCATGTTCATGACAGTGCCACTAATACATTTTTGTCTTAGGTGATTACAGGACAATGAGAAATCAGTCAGCTTATGACAACTTCACAATACTAACCATCTTTAATGTGCATATGCACTCTTGGAAGAACAATTTGCATTTACTTAGAATTTTCCACAATGAAAAACACAACTCAACCCATGATAGCACATGATGAGCATACACATGCAACTGGTGCTCCCTGCAGTGTTGTATTGGCTTCATTTTCACACTTATCCTCCCTAGACCCTAGCTTATTGGCTCTTCTCAACGTACATATCTCCCTTCCAACGACTGTTACGCAAGATTACTGTTATAGTAATTCTGCAGTATACCACTGGTGTGTCATATTGCAAGGACTTACACAGATAACTTACAAGGTTTTTCTTAATGGGTCTGAAAAGGGTCAAATCAAACCATATTCAGAATCAGTATCATATGTCTTGCACAAATCACCTTCTCATTCATTTTTGGGTATAAACATTTGGAAAAATGATCATGTTACTTCCTGTTTACTCCTGGAATAACACAATAGAGCACAAGTTTCAATCACTGTGATTCCAGTGTTTATTGTGTATTTGAAAGATCCATTTTCCTCATGATTATTAATGGCCTTGTCTTATAGCGTATCCTAAACGTAACTCAAAACTTCTCAGATAGTCTGACAAATTGTCCTCCGTTTCTTCATAAGTGTAGCATCGAGTCTAAGTCTAATTTCTTGGCTTATCTAGGCTGAAAGAGAAATTTGAACATCAAGTTGAGGATCTTTATGGGAATAATTGTAGATCTTTGTAAAATGGTTGGAACTTACTTAAAACCTTCCTCAACAGCTCAAAATGACTGGATTAAATTTTTGAAAGTTTCAGCTCACTGGTATGTTTCTGAGGCTAATTAATTGCTTCTGCAGCATTGCTGTGGGTAGAATAAACTCATCCAAAATCAATCCATTTGGTCGTTGAAAAGCTGGACTCCAGAATCCAGCTGTAGCTCATTCTTCATTGAAATGTCTCAGAAAGGGAAGATGGCACCAGGCTTTCCAGATAGGGACCTGGAAGTCCTTGTGGTCAGGGTGGTGAAGCAAAGGACAACACTCTAGCTGATGGGCCAGGACAGGAGGGAGGGCAAGGCATCAAATACAATTGGCTGACCTGGGTCAGTGCTGATTGTAAGGTCAGACGGGATGTATAGCAGTGCAGCAGAAAGTGCAATGATCTTCTGAGCTCTGCAATGTTAAATGTCATCATCTTCTATCTCACACTCACTCTGTCTCTGCACACAAGTCTGACAAATGTTGATGGACTACAAATTTCACTACTGGATACAACATCTCTATTCAACAGCTCTCAACCACCATGTCCTTGACAATTCTTAACAGTTCCTGCCCTGTGCCTATAAAGCTATGCAATTTGCAGAGGCTGGCAGCCTCCAAGGAAGTACATATTGAAAGGCTGGAAAGGCATGTCTTAAATTATTTTCAGTACATTTCACTGAAGCAAAGTAAATATTAATAATTTCCTTTGTCATACAACACCAAAGGCAAACAGAGATATTTTGCAATGTTAAGCCAAATGTCAAGTTAATAACTGAAACAAGGCAACAAATCAAACTAACAAAGTTTTTTTTAGGCAGCAAATAAGAAAAAAAGATCAGGAGTTATCCTGCAATATTAGTTGTAAGAAAGCAATGTGTCATCCAGAGACTCTACTGCAGTTTCATTATAATCTCATTATAATCTATAAACTAATCATTAAATCTGGTATTCTAGGATTTATAGGTACCTGGTCAGGTTTTGATGTGCTGTTCACTGTTGGGTTATCGTTGTTGCTGTCTTGTGAATTTTGTTTGCACAAACTCCCAGACGTGTCTTTAAACATTATATCTTTTTCCAACAAGCTATCCTGCTTGGCAATGGACAGGACAAGTGGGTTCCTAGGGAATTAAGACACATATACCTGTTAGACCACTTCCTATGTTGGTTAGCAGTCAGGGGAAAAAATAATCAAATAAAATCAAGGCACCTCCTTTGGTTTATACTCTATGAACAGTCACTATAACAAAGGTTAAGACGATAACAAATCATAATTTGCTTTCTATTAAGCATGTTTGTATCTCAACAGGATAATGGGTCACCATTTTTAAGGCCTCTTTGATGTTGTAGTCTATCAAATCCAGATGGAAATCAAATAATTTAAAGAGAATGTTGGCAGGTTTCTGATTCAATAGACTGACTGAGCCATAGCCATGAATCCACTAAGAAACTTCAGTCAACACATTTTCTGGAGGCTGGGGTGGTGAGGAGCAGATTTATAAGAAAGGACTATCTATGAAACATGCAGATGCTTTTGTGGATGTTAATAGCTGAAATCTTTACTGTATTCAGCTGAAATACTGATCTAATAATGGGTAGTTATACAACTAATCCCATCAATAATAATCCCATCAATACAAAGACTCTTAATGCTGATATAATGAATTTATCGACCACTACATCCAATTATGTCATGAAGAGAGTAGTTTCTCCTTGATTAAAATCCATATTGCATCATGAAAGTTTAAATACATTTCTAAATAGCAACTAGATTGTTTCTTGGGTGTATTCAGGAGTTGAAGCACATTTGAAGAATAAGGAATGAAATCCAAACCTGGTAATCTCAAATGAATGATTTAATATCTGAAGACTAAATCTTAATCTCAGACTGGTGACTGAAAAGGTGATTTAAAGAGCCGTAAAATGATTAGGCAGTAACATAATTTATTGATTTGACATTAGAACTGGTTGATTTGACACTAGAACTGATGTATAATTGTAACACATTAGTCTCTTAATGATTAATATACCACAAAGGCTGACAATTTGTTCAGTATTTTCCCTTTATTTAAATTACAAATGATTGTCAAGTTGTACTGTCAAAGACAGATTAAAAACCTCTTTTCCTTAAGTACCTTGGGATGATAGGTAGCTCAGCAAAAGTTTAAAGATTTTATGTTACAACTCAAAGGAATATTCTAATGAATAATGGCCTGGAGGAGTCCAGAGGAGAGGAGCTGAGTGAAAACACACAAAATGATCAGAGGATTAGATAGGGTGGACAGTGGGGGCCTTTTTCCTCGGATGGTGATGGCTAGCATGAGGGGACATAGCTTTAAATTGAGGGGTGATAGATATAGGACAGATGTCAGAGGTAGATTCTTTACTCAGAGAGTAGTAAAGGCGTGGAATGCCCTGCCTGCAAAAGTAGTAGACTCGCCAATTTTAAGGGCATTTAAATGGTCATTGGATAAACATATGGATGATAATGGAATAGTTTAGGTTAGATGGGCTTCAGATTGGTTTCACCGGTCGGCGCAACATCGGGGGCCGAAGGGCCTGTACTGCGCTGTAATGTTCTCTGTTCTATGTTCTATGTTCTATAAAATGGATGTAAGGGAAAGTTGGGTGTCTGAGATAAAGGGGGACGGTGATGGTGAAAGGTCAGTCTGAGTGAAATTAAAGTGTATTTTAATTCTCTAAACTCTCCTAGCTGACTATTAAGCTATGTAAGTCAGAATACTCTGAAGTCTCTGACTGTAAGATTTGGAGATATTTTGGAGGGTTCCAGAGGCCTGGTGATTACTCAACAGAGGATTATCACAATAAACAGTGCATTGAGACCTCCGATGGGATCCTCCTGCATCTTTCAGCGTTTGTCTGGTCTACCTGAAGACTGAAAGATGTAGATCAATATTCCCTGAATCAACATTGTATTAAGAACAATAACAGAAATTGCTGGAAAAGCTCTGTAAGTCTGGCAGCATCTGTGAAGAGAAATCAGAGTTAATGTTTCAGGTCCAGTGGCCCTTCCCTCATATTAAGATCTTGTCTGCATTGAGGTGAGTAAACATTAGTAGGCTGTATTCAGTCTAAGTGTATACCAGGGATAATAAGATCTTCTGGAACCCTGTAGTCTTGGATTGCAATTCCATTTTATTCATTGTCACTATGATATAGTTCCTTTTGCAAATGCTCAGTAGTTATTCTCAAAGGTAGTTCTTAACTTAACATTTCCCACGAAGCTCCTTTAAAGCATCACTTCTAATCATTAACATGTGACCACGAACATTTTGCTCTTTTCTTTCATTTCTCCACCCCCTCCCCTAATCTTTTTCATGTAAGGTGTTAGTCTCCAACAGTAATGTCAGCTTTCTTCGAGGGTGTACAGAATGTGTATGCTCCCTCACCATAGTCTGGAAAGGAGTGGAATAGAATGGCAGCTTCTCTGCAGACAAAAAGAATTAAACTGCATATATTTGAATGCAAAGGGTCTTACAGGTAAGCCTGATGAATTCATGGCCTGTGGAGGAACATGGGACTGGCTCATTATAGCTATTACACAAACTTGGCTGAGGGAAGAACTGGACTGGCAGCTCAATGTTCTAGGTTTTAGATGCTATCGGAAGGATAGAAAAGGAGGCGAGAGAGGAGGGGGAGTGGCATTTTTGATGAAGGAAAACATTGATACTGTAATTAGAGAGGATATTTCTGAGGGAACATCCTGCGAAACTGTATGGGTAAAAATTAGAAATAAGAAAGGGATGATCACCTTGATGGGATTATACTATAGGCTCCTCAAAAGTCAGAGGGAAATTGAGAAGCAAATACGTACAGAGATCTCAGACATATGAAAGAAAAATAGGGTGGAAATAGTAGGGAATTTTAATTTTCTAAGCATTGACTGGGACTGCCATAGTGTTAAAGGTTTGGATGGTGAGGAATTTGTTAAATGTGTTCAAGAAAATTTTCATTATCAATATGTAAATGTACCTACGAGAGAAGGAGCAAAAACTGACCTTCTCTTGTGAAAGAAGGCAGGGTTGGTAACTATAGTGTTAGCAGGGGAACACTTTGGGACTAGTGATCATAATTCTATTAGTTTTAAAATAATCACGAAAAAGGATAGGCCTTCTATAAAAGCTCAAGTTCTTTATTGGATTAAGGTAAATTTTAATGGTATGAGATAAGAACTTTCTAAGTTTGATTGGAGTGGACTGTTTTCAGTTAAAGGGATGACTAACAAGTAGGAGGCTTTCAAAAGTGTGATAATGAGAGTTCAAAGGCATTATGTTCCTGTTATAATGGGGTGTAAGGCTGGTAACAGTTAGGAACAATAAAGATATTGAGGTTCTAGTCAAGAGTAAGAGCAAGTCACATATTAGATGTAGACAACTGGCATTAAATTAATCTCTTGAAGAGTATAAAGAGTGTAGGGGCATTCTTAAGAGGGAAATCAGAGGATATGACTTAGCCTTGGCAGATAAAGTTAAGGATAATCCAGAGAGGTTCCACAAGTACATTAACAGCAAAACAGCAATTCGAGAGAGAACAGGACTCCTTAAAGATCAGTGAGGTCATCTATGTGCTGAACCTCAGGTGATAACAAAGATATTAAATGAATATTTTGCATCAGTTTTTATTGTGGAGAAAGAAATGGATGTAGGGAATTTGGGGAAATAAATATTGATGTCTTGAAACCAGTTAACATTACAGAAGAGGAAGTGCTGGAGGTCTTAGAAAATATAAATGTGGATAAATCTTCAGGATCTGATCAAGCATATCCCAGGATGTTGTGAGAAGTTAGAGAGGAAATTGCAGGGCCCCCAGCAGAAACACTTGTATCAACCATAACCACAGGTGACATGCTGGAGGACTGGAAGGCGGCTAATGTTGTGCCTTTATTCAAGAAAGGTTGCAAGGAGAAGCCTGGGAACTATAGACCTGTGAGCCTGACATCAGTGGTGGGTAAGTGTTGGAGGTGATTCTGAAAGATAGGATTTACATGCACTTGGAGATGTTAGGGATAGGGATTAGAGATAGCCAGCATGATTTTGTGTGAGGGAAATCGTACTCACAAACTTGATTGAGTTTTTTGAGGAAGTAACCAAAAAGATTGATGAGAGCAGAGCGGTAGATGTTGTTTACATGGATTTTAGTAAAGACATCGACAAGGCTCTGTATGGTGGACTAATTAGTAAAGTTAAATCACATGGGATTTAGTGTGAGTTTGCCAATTGGATACAAAATTGGTTTAACGGTAGGAGACAGAGGGTGGTGGTGGAGGATTATTTTTCTGACCGGACCCCTGTGAGCAGCAGTGTTCCAAAGGGATCAGTGCTGTGTCAACTTTTGTTTGTCATTTATATAAACAATTTGGATAAGAATATAGGAAGCACAGTTAGTAAGTTTGAGAATGACACCAAAATTGGTGGTATAGTGGACAGCGAAGGAAGTTATCTAAGATTACAAAGAGATCTTGATCAATTGGGTCAATGGGCTGAGGAGTAGCAGATGGAGTTTAATTGGGATAAATGTGAGGTATCGCATTTTGGTAAAAAAAACAAGGACAGGACTTATACATTTAATGGTAGGGCCCTGAGTAGTGTTGCAGAACAGAGAGACCGAGGGGCTCAGGTACATAATTCTTTGAAATCTGCATCTCAGGTAGAAAGGATGGTTAAGAAGATGTTTAGCACCTTGCCTTCATTGCTCAGACCTTTGAATCTAGGAGTGGGGACGTACAGGATGTTGAGGTGGTACAAGATGTTGGTGAGGCCTCTTCTGGAATACTGTGCGCAATTCTGGTTACCCTGCTATAGGAAGGATATTATTAAATTGGACAGGGTTCAGAAAAGATTTACCAGGATGTTGCTGGGACTGGAGGGTTTGACATAAAAATATAGTCTGGATATTCTGGGAAGCGTAGGAATTGAGGGATGTGCAGGTTTATAAAATCATGAGAAGCATAGATAAGGTGAATAGTAAGGCTCTTTTCCCTGGCGTGGGTGACCTCAAAACTAGGGGGTGTATTTTTAAGATGAGAGGAGAAAGTTTTAAAAAGGTCGTAAGGGCAACTTTCTTCACACAGAGAGTGATTTGTATGTGGAATGAGCTGCCA